ATTTTATGAACCGGTTCTTGTTTCTGTGCATCTTGCCATTCAGGTGCGTCAACTTTACAACTGGAACTAAGTTCTGCTCCTCGATTGGTTAAGATGTGTTAATGGATTATTGTGCTAAACTGTCTTGATGACATGGTTGCTATAGCAGCTTGTGTTATGTCGATATGTCCTGATCTTGTTTTTCTTATTTATTCTTAGCAACATATAACCTGTAGGAAATCTTGAAATCCTTGATTTTAGGAAGGAAACTGATCAACAAGCAATCGGTTCACTTGTTGCTTAATCTATTCATTTTTTATTAGTGGAAGTTTTTATGAGCTATTATGATGGAATGAGTTTGGGTTCTTGCAGAATCTGACATCAAACAGCATGGATTTTCTTAATTCATTTTGTTGCTTTCTAAATTTGAAATGGCGGGCTAATTAGAAATCCAAAATGCAGGGTTATATTTTAGCTGCAAGTGAGAGCATAAGCATTTTGTTTGTAGACGAGCGTGTGATCTCAAAAACTGATGCTGTGTTTGTTAACAAGTTGAAATTTCTCATTTTTGGTTTAAAATGTCCACCTGCCTTTTCTAAGAATATTAATGATTATAAACTGTATCCTTCCTAGGATTGAATTATATGATTACGTGTGCTCTAATTCATGCATATTTGATCATTCAAGAAATTTTATCCTTTGTGCTTGTTGGATGCTCCAGTGTTAGTGGTTGTTATGTTTTTGTAACATAATTTTTTGGTTGCAGCCACCCTTCTCATTGGGGTAGAGTTTGCTTTCTCTCTACTCCAGATGGTGAAAACTGTGGCCTTGTAAAAAACTTGGCTGTCACTGGAGTTGTCAGTACCAATATATCAGAATCTCTAGTTGATAAATTGTTTGGTAGTGGGATGGAGAAACTGGTTGATGATACTTACACTAAACTGGATGGGAAGCATAAGGTGTTTCTAAATGGCGAATGGGTTGGAGTCTGCGAAGATTCTTGTTTGTTTGTTGGTGAGCTAAGAAGCATGCGACGCAGGAGAGAATTGCCCTATCAGGTTGTCTCACTTATAATTTATGATTTATTTCCAAATTTCTAGCAAATGAAGTTTATGCATACCATCAATTTGCTGCTACTGTTGAGACCAAAAATTTGATCAAAGGTGTCAAAAAATGAAATATATGATGACTCATAGTTTGTTTCTTTATAACGACTGCCTTGAGAAGTTGCTGTAACAAACTTGTTTATATATGCAATTTGTGATATTCATGTTTGACCCTACAATGTCCCTAAGTTTCATTATATACTAGAGGGAAGCTTGTAAAAAGAAGTTGATGATTTTATTGAAAACCTTTAAAATGAACAATTTGTTACAATTGTCCAAGTTATAAACCATCAGAAGAGTGATCATGCAGGCCTCATCCAGACCAAGTGTTAGAAAATGTTGATGTTAGGTGGTCAACACATGATTTCTTCATTATTTTTACCTCTTAAGGAATCAGTTCACTTCTAGAAAATGCTTGGATGCATGTCTGAATTGTTGTCACCTTATCTCTCTTGTTTTGCCCCTTTCATACTTTTCCTTTTTATGATGAAGTATTCGGCATTTGTAGATTTTACTCTCCTTTATCCTTTAAATGGATGGTTGTGGGGACTTCCTTGATCTGATTTATTTTTGTTGCCTTCCTAACATCTTCAGTAATGGTTTTCTCATGTAGGTGGAAATCAAAAGGGATGAACAACAGAGAGAAGTACGCATATTTTCTGATGCTGGAAGGATCTTACGCCCTCTTTTAGTTGTTGAGAACTTGGATAAAATAAAAGCATTTAAAGGGGGAAATTACATCTTCACTTCTCTTCTGGACAAGGGGATTATTGAGTTTATTGGAACAGAAGAGGAAGAGGACTGTTGTACTGCATGGGGCATCAAATTTCTTTTAGCTGATATTGAGGGGAAGCAACCTATGAAGTATACACACTGTGAACTTGACATGTCCTTTTTATTAGGTTTGAGTTGTGGAATTATTCCCTTTGCCAATCATGACCATGCACGAAGGGTCCTGTACCAAGCTCAAAAACATTCTCAACAGGCTATTGGATTTTCCACAACAAATCCCAACATCAGAGTTGACACCTTGTCTCACCAATTGCATTACCCCCAAAGGCCTCTATTTCGGACAATGATTTCTGATTGTCTCGGTAAACCTGGATACCCACTTGGTCATAATGCAGTACTGCCAAAGCCAGAGTTGTTTAATGGTCAGAATGCTATAGTTGCAGTTAATGTTCATCTGGGTTACAACCAAGAGGATTCGTTGGTAATGAATCGTGCTTCTTTAGAGCGTGGTATGTTCCGCTCTGAGCACATTAGAAGCTACAAGGCGGAGGTGGACAACAAGGAGCTAACTGACAAGAGGCGGAAGTCAGAGGATTCTATTACTTTTGGGAAAATACAAAGTAAAATTGGACGGGTTGACAGCCTTGACGATGATGGATTTCCTTTTATTGGTGCTAATATGCAAAGTGGTGATATTGTGATAGGGAAGTGTGCAGAATCTGGGGCAGATCATAGTGTAAAATTGAAGCACACGGAAAGGGGCATGGTTCAGAAAGTGGTATTGTCATCTAATGATGAGGGAAAGAATTTTGCTGTGGTGTCTTTGAGACAGGTACATAAAAAAAGTTTTAGTAACATAAAGACAGTTCTGTTTGTGTTTGCATGCAAGTGCAGTTTCTGCACGGCTACCTATATGCTCACACATGCATGTCCCACTGGTAGAAAATGTAAGGTCTCGTGATGTGATGTGAAACAAATGTAGCATGCGAAGAGCTCCCAATGGTGTTTGAATTTTCCTTCCTCTAGACCTATTTTATGGAATTTATAGTTAGCGGATGCTTCTGGGGTTGGTTTTCCTTGGGTGTACGCCCTTTGTCCTTTTGAACCAAATGTACATGTGTGTTAGTGGGTGTGTTATGCATATTATTGATGTTCTTTTGCTTGGTTGTATTACGTTCTTAAATTGCATTTCCTGTCACATTTGATGTTCTTGAATTGCTGTTGCAGGTTCGATCTCCTTGTCTTGGAGACAAGTTCTCAAGCATGCATGGGCAAAAGGGTGTTCTGGGCTTCTTGGAGTCTCAGGAGAACTTCCCTTTCACAATTCAAGGAGTTGTTCCTGATATTGTAATAAACCCACATGCATTTCCGTCACGACAAACTCCTGGTCAACTATTAGAGGCTGCTTTAGGAAAGGGAATTGCCTGTGGTGGCTCAAAGAGATACGCTACCCCTTTCTCCACTCTCTCGGTTGATGACATCATAGACCAGCTTCACAGGTGACGTTGCATTCACAGACACCACTCTTTGCTCTGTAATTGAGCCATTTGTAAATGTTGATGCATAATTTCTTTCAACTTCCATTTTATCCGAGAATGCTTTAGAATTAAAAAATAAAAGTCAATGCTGTCTCATTCTCGGTGGTTTGGTGTACCAGACTACACTTTCCAGGCACATGTCATTGTCAAATTTCATGCTGTTGTCTATTTCAAGTTCCTGTCCTCTCCTTCTGTTCATGATCTTGTTTTTGTTTTCAAGTTATTCTGAGAGCGACATCTGTTGAATATGTACAACAGGGCTAAATTTTCAAGATGGGGAAATGAAAGAGTCTACAATGGTCGAACTGGTGAAATGGTTCGTTCTCTCATATTTATGGGACCAACATTCTATCAGCGGCTGGTCCACATGGCTGAAGACAAAGTAAAATTTCGCAACACTGGACCAGTACACCCGCTTACAAGACAGCCAGTTGCAGACCGTAAGCGTTTTGGTGGTATCAAGTTCGGTGAGATGGAGCGTGACTGCCTCATAGCTCATGGTGCATCTGCAAACCTGCACGAACGCCTTTTTACTCTCAGTGACTCCTCTGAAATGCATATCTGCCAGAAATGCAAAAATGTGGCCAACGTGATCCAACGGGCTGTGCCTGGTGGCCGCAAGATTAGGGGTCCCTATTGCCGGGTTTGTGAGTCTGTTGATGACCTTATTAAGGTTAGTGTACCTTATGGGGCGAAGTTGTTGTGCCAGGAGCTTTTCAGCATGGGCATAAGTTTGAAATTTGATACCAGGGTTTCTTGAGCTCTTATTTTGGTTGTTCTTCCGGTTGCCTTCATGTTTATGGAAAGTTTCAAACTTGTAGGATATGTTTCTCAAAGTCATGTTCCCTGAATCTGTGTATGGTATTGTCAAGGACTACAGGGATGGTATGGATTGATCAGTTCATATACAAGTAGTAAGCCAGGTTCTTTTATCTAGTGATGGCAAGTTACAATGTTTTCCCCTTTCGGGGACCATTTATCATTTAGGCTCTAATCATGAAATGATGGACTAGGAGCTTAAACTCGGGATCCATATTTTGAATCATGAATGGTATAGCCTGCAAATCTTGAAACGTATTTGAGACTCTTTAGCCGAACCTTCATCGTTCCCCTGCATCTGTGGAAGTTTCATTAATGCTCTCGACCTAAACATTTTCTTTTTTGAGTTTTTAATTCGAATAAAGCCATATTACCTAAAATCCAGAAAAAAAAATAGTAAGAAATTTTCTCCTTGTAGCATGACTGCAATGAAGTGGTGGGATTCGAACCAGTGTGGTTGTATGACAAAACCTATCTTTACAAATCTACTAGGATGGTCATCTAAGCCATTATCAAACGAAAAATCATGTCCTCGCGGTTTGATCCTAACGAGTTTATAGTATTTTAACATGTTATCGCTCCATTCATCATCGCAGAAATCATGTGGATAGATGACATGTTAGTCTACCAGGGCAAAACCTTCCCTGTCCTTGTGTGGTATTATTTTAAGAAACAAGTGAAAAAGAAATTGATTCAAAATTACAAGTTGGAAGAATGAATGAATAATTAACAAATAGAGCTATCTAGCAAAGTCATGGTCAAAACCCTAAAGTGGAAGTCAAATACAAAACCGCCTCGTCAGGTCAACATGAGTCAAAAAGGAAACAAAAAGCACAGATGTTCCCTCTCCCCCTGTGTAACCAAATCGTAGACCCCTGTTTTAGGCATACAAAACTCTCCTGTCTTTCATTTTTGTTTTGTTTCTGTCAAACACTCTCACATTTTAATATAAACGACTACATCAAAGAACCATGCAAGAACAGAACAAAGATCCTAAAGAAGATTCTAATATTGGCTTTAACTGTGATTGCTCTTCTTTTTCCCCGTCACTCAAAAAAGTTATTTCCAATTCACCAGTTCTTGGATTTCAGGTTCTTCTACATTGTCTTTTACGATTTTCATACGCTTAATGTGTTTTATCAACTTCTATGTGTATAGATGAACTCATTTGGCTGTTGTTTGTTATTTGTGTTGTGGTTTTTTTTTTTAATGATTGAAATTCTTGTGTAGTTTCTAATCAAGAATTTGTTTTTCTCTTTGAAAGTTGGTATACTGGGTTGTTTTCTATGTTGGGTTTATTGTTTTTTTATTTTTATGTACGAAATTGTTGAGTTTGCAGGGAAACATTGATTAGTAAGAAGGGGGGCTGTTTTGAAGTGTGGTCAAATGATGAGGCTTTCTGTTTAGTTTAGTTTATTTTGGAATGATTATGTTGGTTTGTTGATAACGCCTTTATAATGATCATTGATAATTACTATTAATATAGATTATAGAGAATCCATCAGAGAAAAATTTAAGTATGTTGCTTGCCCAAATCGCAAAAAGCTTGATGCGAGTTTTGTTTGCTTTTTAATGTTTATACAGTCAATTATATAAGAATAATTGATTTGTAGGGGGGGAATGAGATGTTCCAGCAGGATGCTTGTGCGGTTACAAAACCTGAAGCAGACCGGGTACAGTTAGAAGAACATCAAGCTGAATGTGCAAATACTTCTAGTGAAGTATTGTCACTTACACCAGCTGTAATATCTGTCCCATATCCAGCATCTGTACCACAAAAGCCACGGTCAATGCGTGCACTTGGGCTAGTAATAAACCAGCAAAATTCTGACTGTGAGACCAGACATCCACACGTTGTGGAATCACCCCCTGCTGATGGCTATAACTGGAGGAAGTATGGCCGGAAGCTGGTGAAGGGTTCTAAAAATTTGAGAAGCTACTATAGATGTGTCTATTCTAGTTGCTGTGCTAAGAAGAAGGTTCAACATTGTGATCAATCTGGTCGTGTCATTGATGTTGTTTATATAGGTGACCACCATCATGATCCTCCTCAAAAGAAACGCATCAGGGTTGTATCATCTGCTAAGCATGCCATAGGCAGTCAAGTTGTAGATCCTTCGGTTCAGAAGTTAGTTGGGTTGGATATTTCTGTCTGTTCAGCTGATGGCAGACATTCATCTCTGCATGTGCCTGAATCAGAACAACAGAGTTCAAGCATTTCAAATGGAAATACTGGAGCTAGGATTAAAGACAAAAGTGATGATGAGACAGAGTCAAAACGATGGCAAGTTATTTGAGTAACATGATAGTTTAAAATGACTTTGATGTTTTATTTTGCTAATCTTGTCGCTTTCATCACGAATACCATTTTACAGCTCTGGTTCAAGTGCAGTGGGACCCCAACAAAATGGCTCCTGTGGGATTGCCAGCACTGAGGTTCAGGAGAAACATGGTGCTGAATCAGGACTGAAAATAAGGTATGTCCTTTGCGGAATTTGGTTCTCAAACCTTAGATTTTAGTTTTGAGTTTTCTAATTCAATTCAATTGGTCAACAAGCAGGATTAAAGAAAGAAGTGCACCATGTTTAGTTCCTGTCTTGAAAACTATGAAGGAGCCTGAAATCATTATACACACTGTTTCTGATGAAGGAAGCTCAAATGATGGCTATCGATGGCGCAAGTATGGTCAGAAAATGTTGAAGGGGAATTCATTAGTAAGGTAGAATTTGCACTTCTTTTGCTTATGTGGGCATAAATAGCATAGGACTTCGTGTGTTATCATTTCTTTTTCCAATCTCCACATGCATGGCCACGAGAAAACTTTTCCCAGCCAATCTAAGTTTGCCCAATCAAGATTTTCTCAAATTACTTTTATGTGGATCCCTTATCTTCGGTATCTTCTTTGAACCTTATCAATCCCTTGGTGAAATGTTAGGAGCTATTACAGATGCTCATCTTCAGCATGCCCTGCTCATAAGCATGTTGAGAGGGCCACAGATGATGCCACATCCACCACAGTAACATATGAAGGGAAACATGACCATGATATGCCAGCACCTAAGAAAAGACAATGTTCAGAAAGTCGGCTTATTTCCCCAACTGCTTCCACAGATGATGCCCGCTGCAAGAAAAACAGAAACTTATCTAGTAAAAAGCCCTCGAGCAGGTGCTCAGTAGACGGTGGTGAAGTTGATTTGATGGGTGAGAAGATATCGAAGCTTGGAGGTGAGCAGGCATTAGAATCAGCTCAAACCCTTCTTAGCATTGGAATTGATCTCAGGCCTCGCTAAGGAACAAAATTTTGTAGTGGTTGATGCAAATTATAGTATTATCAGGTTGTTTTTCATGGAAATTATATTAACTCTCTCATTTCGAGTTTCAATGAAATTTCATAAGTTCCAATCTCTTATCTTTTTTTATTTCTGAACGCACTTAATTTTTTTTTTTTTTTTTCACTTCGATGCCCCATTATGGGATTATTTTATTTTTCACTTCGATGCCCCATTATGGGATTGTATATCAGAACATGCCATGAATCTTGGAGAGATCAAGTCTGAATCATGGGAATTGAAAAGGTCAGCCGAAGGGTTCTTCAGCTTTATTAGTGTCACAATCTGAAACCACCATACGGGTTTCATGAATTGGCAATAGTATGGTCATTATTAAGCTGGCGTAACTAGTTGACCCAAATCAACCCTCTTAGCAGGGGGGCGATACAAGCCTGATTTTTTTTTCAACAAAAGGAAAAGCACAAAGTAGAACTTAACAAGAGTGGTTCAAAAGCAAGCATCGAGAAGAGCAGGACAGTAATAAGTAACTATTATCAACTGTAAGCAGCGGCAAATGCTACATCATCTACATTCCTTGGCTTTGTTTGCTCATGAAAGTATATTCCAGATTGATTGAGCATGGAAAGTAAGTACAGTAACTCCTCATTACACAGCTTTGAAGGTCTCTTATCTTCAAAACTACCAGCTTTTAGAACCTCAATGATCTTCTCCTTGAACAAAAGCAACTCTCTATCTGCGCAAGAAGATGAATGGCACTCTTCTCCATCACTCTCCTCCTCATTGTCCCCATCATCATCCGCACAAACATACTGGTTCCTGTTCATTTCTTCTCCATTAGAGCTCGTCAATTTTGATAATCTGAATAGTTCTATCACCTTCTTCTTCTGCTTAAATGTTGCCCCCAAAGTCTTATTCTTCTTCCCAAAACAATGTTTCGTGAATGCCCACCATTCATCAAGATTCACATCAGGAATTCGATCTTTTGGCCGAATGATAACCACAGAAGAGTCAACTTTTGGAACAGGGACAAAATCCCTCTTGCTTACATTCATCACAAACTCCACATCTGCTACCAACTTCACATTCACAGCCAATCTATTAAACTCAGAATCCCCAGGCTTTGCCAACAACCGCCGTGCAAATTCTTTCTGAAGAAGAAGTGTGGCACTTCGAAATGGATTCGCCCCATACACCAATTTAGCCACGAGAGGCGAAGATATCCCATAAGGAATGTTGGCCACAACAAGATCAAATTTGGGAAACTCAGCCTTCAATGCATCCGCTCGAATAACCTGCAAAACCCCATTAAGCCATTCCCCAAAATGTTAAAACTTTAACCATTTCCAAAACAACGACATAAGTTAACAACAGAGAAACCCACCAATCCACTCTCCTAAAGACTACATTTCAATCACTGTAAGTGCACAATAAATTAATACTTAAAAGAAACCCAGCACGCCATTCTCCATAAAGATCAAATCTTTCTCACTGTAAAAGCATAATAAATCAATAACAAAGGAAACCGATAACCCCATTTCCAACAAAATAAAACTTTATTCCTCACAAAACAACAATTTCTTTCAGGTATTTTATCAGACACTTGCATACAAACCAGACTCACACTCAGTTTATCTTCAAATCCATGCTCCTTCACACGTTTATTAAGAACCCCAACCATCCTTTTATCAATTTCAACAGCAACAACCTTCGAAGCAACATCAAGAAGCTTAAGAGTGAGGTTTCCAGTTCCTGGTCCAATTTCAAGGACAGTGTCGGTAGGGTTTATTGAAGAGTTTCTAACAATAGAGTCTAGAATCCTCTGGTTCGTGAGCAAGTGCTGGCCTTTGCCTTTGTACAAGAATAAATCGTCCTGTTGGTTGTCTTCTTTTGTGTTTCTAGTTCTGTATTTATCATTGTAATGATGGTTTGGCTTGGTACGAAGTTGTCGGAGAGAGTTTCGTCTAAGAATGGATTGGATAAGGTAGAATTGGATTAGATTTCCCTTCTTCAACTGTGTATTCATGAAGAAAATCAAAAGGGTTTTTCCTTCCTAGTATCATTTGCAGGCTCTAATGCGCCATGGCAGGTCTCCCGTAAGGCTGCAACTGTTTTTTGCTTCAAGGAGACAACAAGGGTTAAACTATATTATACTCCTGCCCCTATAATTTTCTAATATTATACTTTTAGTTTTGAAAAAAAGTTTTCAAATTATATATTTCTTATATGCAAATTGGTTAATTATGATGAGCTATCTAGAAAGATATATTAAAAATGTAATGTATATTCCAATACAAAATTGGTTCAATTAATTTTTTTTTAAAAAAGTATTAAGGTTAGATCGAGTAATTAATCCTTTTCAATTTTTAATATATAAGCAAGCATAAAAAATTGAAAAGGATTAATTACTTGATCTAATCTTAATACTTTTTTTTTATATATAAAAAAATCTCTAATTGAACCAATTTTGTATTTGAATATATATATATATATATTCAAAAGAATAATGATGAACAAAACATCCTTTAAAGTATAAAAAGTAAACTTGACCTCAATGGGATTTTTCATCTAATCCCAAAGGGTTTTTTTATATATATATTAATATGTCAAACAAAGAATAATTTGATGCATCTGGAGGTGTGTAGGAGGTGTTGGTGCCATTTAGAAGGCGCATACGTCACTCTTCCAATATCCAAACATATCTTTTTGCAATGTTATTGGAAGAGTTGTCCTGTACTTTTTATTGGTGCTACATGTATCTCTAGTGGTGGTAGGATTGTCGTCATTAAACTTTTTTTTTCATTCTTTTCTCTCTCCTCCTCTAAAAATTACATATTGACTCTTTTGGTTGTTAGTATTTCAACTTTATGGCGTGTTTGATTGTAAGAAAGTGAATTCCTGAAATTCACTTTCCTTGTTTTTCCATGTTTGGCAACAATATAAAAAAATAATCAAAGGAAACTGAATTCCAGTCAAACTAAAAATAATAACGTTATCAAAGGAAAGTGTTTTCCTTCTGTTAAAGAAAGGAAAACACTTTCCTTTCGTTCATTTTCTCATACACAGCTCCTTGAGAACTTTTTCTTCAAAAATCGTAGTCTTTTTTTCTTCAAAATCAATTGCAAACTGATCAGGAACAAGAGTATTTTTCTGGATCTAATTTCTTCAGGTATTTTTTTCCTCTTTATTTCCTTTAAATTTTTATCTTCTTCAGGGTAGATCCAAATCTGTAAAAATAATGGCACAAATCTTTGATAAATCTGCTACTACTATTGTCATATTTTTTTCCATAACTCTTCATTATTCTCATCACATTCAACTAATCAAGCAAGCAACCCAAAAAAACACATTTTTTCTGCTATTGTTTTCATGAATCATAATCGACAGCTCACTAACCAAACAAAGAGACAAAACCAAGGAGGAATTGTGAATAGAGAGAGGCAAGACAGTAACCAAACAGAGAGACAAAACCGGGGGGAGGAGAGATAACTGCGAACAAAGGGAGGCAAAACAGGGGGGCGATTTCTGTTAACATGGAGAGGCAACGCGGTGGGGAGGGATCGATTTATATGGGAGGGGGCGGGGAAACGAGA